AGAGGGAGAGAGGGAGAGGGAGAGAGGGAGAGGGAGAGAGGGAGAGAGGTCTGCACAAGTGGAAATGCTCACAGGTCAGGACTTGGGGTGCCTGGATCCCTAACTTAACAGCTCTGATTCCTAGATACAGTCTTGACCTCTAAACCTTAGTTTGGCTACCTGTAAAATGGGAAAAGTACTCATTTCATAGGCTCACTGTAAAGATTAAAAAGGACATTGTATGTTAAGAGTTTAGATCAATCCCAGGAATATATTAAATGCAAAAAATTAAGAAGTTGTTTTAAAGAAACAAAACATGCAAATGGTTAAGGCTAATTTTTTTAACAATAGAATTGGACAAATTTATTTGAATAGTCAGTTATAATGTTACATGAATGTGGTAGTGCAGTTTATACCCTACATTTGACAAATAGTAAACCCTAAATATGGGCCCCACATTTGAGTAGGCCCAGGGTAGGCACGCATCTGAAATACACTCTCCTCCTAGTCTTCAGCTCCCTGAGTGTTCTCCATGACCCTCAATCGCTTGGCTGACCCTCAAGCTCCACTGCTACTGGAAAACAGGTTTTCCATTGCCAAAGCCACCGCTGATCACAGTTCTGTGTTTTATGCACACGTCCTGTCTGCTTTCTTTCAAGAAAATAGTGAAACATTTTTTGTCTCTTAGCTATATGGTGTGTGGGAGATATAAACAAATAATGCAAAAAAGACTAAATTACTGCAAGGAGAAAATCAATGTTTTCCTTTTGTGTACTCTTGGTTGCTAGGTAAGAAAGTGGCTACCTAATTTGACTGTCTAAGAGGGAGAAGGGATATGGGCTGAGTGTATCATCTGTAGACAGAATCATCAGCTCTTAAAAAGGAGCAATTGACATTATTTTTGAAAGTTTCATTTTATAGTTTACCCTAATAATACTAGTTTTACTGAACTTACTATAAAAATAAACATTAATCATTTTTAAGAGTTCAAAATAATTCTTTCTAATTCCCCAAATAATTAAAAGAATCCTACCACAGCGATATATGTGCGCCCATGTTCATAGCAGCACAGGTTGTAATAGCTAAACCTTGGAAACAACCCAACTGCCCATCAACTGGAGACTGGATAAAGAAGATGTGTTTTGTTTTGTTTTGTTTTGTTTTTAACAAAATGGAGTACTAAGCCATAAGGAATAAGAAATTAGAGACATTTATAGCTAAATGGATGCACTCTTTAAGTGAAATAAATAGGACACACATGTGTAAATACCGAATAGTTTCTCTGGTGTGAGAAACTGAAAGTGTAAATAAGGATCAAAATGTATAATAGATAATGTGAAATAGGAAGAAAAGGGGCAAAGGGGAAGGGGAAGTGGGAGGGGTAGAGGATAGGATAGAAGGGAATGAAATTAATATGAGAAAAGGAAAAAATGGAAACAAAGTCTCTGTAAATAGGGAGGGATGGAGGGGTTGATGGGAGGGCAGGGGAAGGGGGAAAAATGAGAACCAAGAGAGACTATGTAGAGGTACAGATTTCCAATGATGAATGCCATTATATTGTATACCTAAAATGTACCAGTAAAATTAATTTTTAAAAAGGAATATAAAAAAAGGAGTTCAAAATAAGTAAAAAACCAGTGGGATTTGTGGAAGTTAGCCATTGTCAAATAAAGGTCATAATGTATATCATTACTTTTATAAATGTGCCTTAGAGAATATTTGAAGAATTTTCTACTTTCTTAAATGGTTCTTAAGGAAGTAACACTGGAGTTAAGTTAAACAAAGAATAGGTATTAACGAGGCAAAAGAGAGGAAGTTTGTGGCAGCTGTGAAGGCATCCTAGGGACAGGAGACAGCACAGGCACAGGCAAGAAGTGGCCCATCATGCACGCTTTGATGTTATTGATGCAAAGTTTAAGATGGAGGCTGGTGGTAGGAGCCTGAGGTATTTGGGAGCTGGGTGGCAAAGGACCCATTGTACTGTGTGAAGGAGCTTGCCCTTAATTTAGTAGGTGGTGGGTGGACAGACCTGCAGTGGGAGTAACTTTACATTTTACATCCCGCATGGGTCTCCTTTGCTTGCGTTCATTGCCCCATTCCATCTCCATAACATAAAAAGTCCATGTATTTCTACAAAGAATGCATTGCACCTCCATCACCAGCAGATTTGGCCTCATGTTTTGGGTTTATTGGACATAAATTTTTATCTATATTTTCTCAGGTAAATTATTGCTTTTAACTAGCTATAATCCAACATGGAAAAGAAAACCTGACATTTTTATTGCTTCACTCTTCAAGGTGCTGCCACATGATAGCAAAGCTCGTCGACTTTTTGTAACAAGTGGTGGACTTAAAAAAGTTCAAGAGATACAAGCAGATCCTGGTTCTCTCCTTCAAGAATACATCAACAGTATTAACAACTGTTACCCAGAGGAAGTAGTAAGGTAGGAAAATGCAGTTTGAGGAGGTCAGTAGCAAATGTAGTGTCTGGGCTTTCAAATCTGGATTGCATAGCCACTGTGACATCATGTGAACTTCAAAGTACTCTGTGAGGCCATGTGCATCTTTATTTCTAGCTTGATCTCCTTTTCTGCTTGCAAATTAAATTCAATAATTATGTTCTCATTAACATGCATTTGCAAATCAATCTGGAATATCATTTGAGACATGTCTGTACTAAAATATGCTTTACCAAAGAATACCCCAATACAGAGTTCAAATTAAGTTAACAATTTAAAAATTATGAATACCTGACTTAGAAGAGGCCTGTACGTTCTGGTTTTCATAGATCCCTGCATATCGCTTTTCTCAGGCTCACATTCACATTAATGGAAGTATTATAAGTAGAAAAGAGATACTGCATAATGAAAGTTACTCTCTAAATGCAAAAAATGAATATTTTATGATAGGCAAGTAACCGTACAGTAATCTGGCAGGAAGTAACATGACAAAAATTTCCGAGATATTTTTTTGCAGCGCCGAGGAGCCCAGAGACGCACATATGCTGGGTAAGGGCTGTCCCACTAAACCACGTCCCCAGCTCAGATGAGTCTTTAAAATGTAAATGGAGTCATTTTGCAGAACATGAAGTATAAGCCAAACTGAAGATTCACTTCTTGTAAGGCTAGAGAAGTATTTTATTAACCCCTCCTCAAAAGCAAAGTTACCAAGAAAAAATTAAAAATGTTAAAACTACTGAGTCTTGAAAATGCCCACAAAGCATGTAAATAAAAGGCATATTTACTTATATTTTTCTAATCTTACATTTGTTTTTCTTCTCAATAATATTAGAAAATGTAAATTTGTTATTAAAATTTGTGTTATATATAAATTACAACTTTTATCTGTTTATCATTCCTATTTGATATCAGAGGTTTTTAAAAAACTAATTAATTTATCTGCTTTGGGTTTTGAGCCCTCACTGCCTAGTTCAGGCCGGCCTGGAACTTGAGGTCCCTCCGGAGTGCTGGGATTCCAGGTGTATGCCGCTGTGTCCCGCTTAGAAGCTTTAACAGGATACTGATTTTAAAAGCACACAGCTGTATATGTGAATGGAAATCATTTTATTCTTAAAAATAGTTTTGTGCTTAACCAAAGGACTGATACACAGGAGGAATTCACTCCAATAAATATTTCTTCATGATTTTTATTAGTACACGTTTTTGTTATATAATGGTTGCATTCACTGTGAGGAATTTGTACGTGAACATAACACATCTTAATTTTTTTTCATTTTCTTCCCTTCCCCCTCTCCTCCTTCCATTTCTTGGTCATTTTTCCTTCTTCAAAAGATTGTTTTATTTTCCTCTTTTGGAACTCGTTTCATTTTTCTTTCTCTAGTTACGCATTATGAAGTAAATAAAATTTAATTTTACACAAATACTGGAGAAACTGTAGCAGTGCTTAGCCACTTTCAGTTTTCACTATTTGTTTGATGACAAAATACATATTAAGCAACTTTTAATTTATTTTGCAGAAATAAATGATTAAATAAGATTATTCTGGTTAGATTCAAATTGACTCTAGCAAAATAAAGTACTGTTACTAAGGGAGAATGCCACACTTTCCCGATGAGAAGCTACTTTTGAATTCCTTAGCACCAGACAGACTCTAGTTGGAATGGGGCTTTCTGACCCTCAATGGACAACTTGATGTATTTATTTGTCCATCTGCGTTCTGAAATGCAAACGTCTGTACGCATTTATGGGAAGTTAGATTGTGCTGAGCATATCTGTATTCTGACCGTGAGGGTGAGGGAGGGAAGCAGAGAGCACATTTTCTTTTTGCGGGGATCCTAGAGACCATGAAGTCTCTGAGGCCTTAGGGGAAAAAGGTAAGGCAATGGCAGTTCGCTTGGAAATGAGCCAGGTAAAGCTGCAAGATTTATTGGTAGATCCTAGCTGATTTATTGGGGCTGCTATTTTAAATCAACAGTCCCCAGTAGGGATATATGTAATATGCATGCAATGTGTGTAATTTCACATTTTCTGGTAGCCATGGTTTAAAAAGTAAAATGAATTAGGATAAATAAAATGTAATGATTTTAAAAATCCAGTGTATCCAAATATTATAATTTCAGCTTGTAATCAACATAACATTTATCAATGCTATTAATGATATCACTTCCCGTACATCTTAAATGATTACATAAGATTATTTCACTGGGTATATTTGACCTATATTTAGATTATATAAAATTTACAGTTGAAAAAGTAGACTCATAAGTTATTTCAAACACAGCAAACATTTTTTAGTAACTGATTTGGAGGTTGGTTTTAAAATTTTAATTGAATATAAAAATTTAGTTTCTCAAACACACTTGACGTATTTTCTAGTGTCAACCTCAGGACTTAAATGGCATGATTTTTGAAGATTTAAAAAAAATCTACCTGTTGCATTTATATAAAAAATACTTGTCTCATGTCTGACACATTTATAAGGCCTAGACAGGTGTGCGAGGCTTTAAAATTTAACTCAGACTGAGGGAGAAACAGTTGTGAATTCCTCAGTGTGAAATATTATGAAGAAACACCCTGTTGACAGTCAGTCTTTTCAAGGGCAGCAGACCTTTTGAGGAGAAATAGTCTTTAGCTTTTTATACACGTATGTATGTTCTAGTCAACAATGACTGTGTATCAGCACACTACTGTTTGGCCTACTTTGATAAATAACAGAAAAAATCAGTGTAATACACACTAGGAGTTTTCAAATCAAGAATGTACATAGAAATAGATAAAGGACAAAGTGGGTCCCTAACACTAGAATTTATCTAGGAAAAACTTTTTCGAGGGGCTTATTATAACTACCTTAGGTTTTCAAATCCATTTCTTATGTATTTTAGAATGCCTGCCAAGTATTATTTGACAGGTTTTTATATGCATGCGAGTTATTTTCATGGCATAGCAAACATCCTACAGTGCATTATTGATCAGTGTATTCAATACTTTCCTACTAAATCTTTCATAAAATGATTAGTTTGTAAGTATAAATTTCTAGTGCTATGTATGTACAAGAACCAATGAAAATGCTTAATTTCCTAGGTTTATATAATGCTAATATTTGCAAGCTGCTTATTAGATTTTTAATATGAAGTTTTGTTTTTAATGGATGACCAGATCTGATTAAAGCATAGACTGAAAAATGATTTGTGAGGGAAGCAGAATGCAGACGTTGACTAGCGATGATAAGTGTGTGGTCTAACTTTTGAAAAAAGTCTATTAGTTATGACTTTTAAAGCAGCATTAGTCACTTGATGTGGTAAAAATAAAGTCTCTGCAATAAGGTGCTGTCACAGGGTTGAAGTCTGGCGTGGAAACTGTCCCCTTTGCCGTGACATTTATGTCCTGTAGACCATTGGCTCAGCACAGTGCTGTGGGCTGCTTCTCTCTTCCTCGAGAGTCTCTGCATAAAGCATTCCTGGAATCTAGCTGTCCAGGGTCCATGCGAGGCCTCACTCATAGTATTATTTCACATCAGTTCCTTACATAGACTCTTCTGGCCAACTGTGCTGAATCTTGAATGAGAATCTAAAGGCAGATTTTCTTTTCCAGGTATTATTCCCCTGGGTACTCAGACACACTTCTGCAGAGAGTGGACAGCTACCAGCCTCTTACCAATTAAGCAGAGTCATCTTCTTATACTACAATTCACGGCGAAGTTTCATGAGTAACATTTGCTAAAATTCTTTAAAAATATTTGAATTAAATACATTCTAAATTTATTCAGTGTGAAATACCTTTAGATACAATATTTTCAAAGTTTGTGTAACACTTTAAAAATTCTATATTGAATATGTGAGGAACTGTTCATAATCATTTGCATGCATAGGATTTGTTCACAAGGTAGATTTTAAATAGATGATAAAGTTTTTAAAGACATGCTATTCTTCTACTAAAAATCAGAGGGAGAGAGAGAGAGAGAGAGAGAGAGAGGGAGGTCTCCAACTAGATAAAGGAAAGAGATGATGTTCAAAACCTTTATTCTAGCCAGAAGGGACAGTTCAAAGAGGACTGGAACACAGCGCCCTTGAAGGAGACTCTGATGTTGGGGACATGAATGCATTAGCCTGGCACATAGAATCTCCTGTCAGGCTTAACCTGTCAGGTTTTCCTAGGAATTTAGGACAGAGTTCCTCTTCACCACAAGTCTTTGAAGTTCTCCTTTCAGCCTGCCTAAAATGTTCCTTACATTTCATGGGGCTGCAGAGGGTAGAAGTCATTATTAGGCATTCTGCTCTTACACACATGCTCTCTGACCTCATGGAAAGGTTTCTCATTCACCATGAATAAACAGGGAAGCTGGCCTGTAAGGTGAGTCCGCAGTATTCCCTTGTCCTGGGCTGTTCATACTCCGAAATTTCAAAAGTCACATTTTTGGGGATTTAAGAAATAATTTGAAAAGAGTATCATGAAGCTCAGACTTTGCACCTGTTTTCACCCAGAAGGATATAAAGGGGTAGGCTAACGGAGATCACAATAAAATTTTAAATAAAAATAACATTAGAATTGTCCTTTTTATTTTTCTTATCTGGTGTTTTTCTGACCTTGGGGAATCTGTGATCAGATTTAGGAGGCTTGGTTACTTGGTGTGTGTGTCTTTTGAGCTAAACAAAGGACACTTTGTCCTTTGTTATGGGACTTGAGATGGAGGCCTGAAGAGGAGGCCAGGGGTAATCTGCAGAGCCATCAGTGGGTGCAGTCTGGCTTTGTTTTTAGGGTTCCTTCTGCAACTCTTTAGTTTTTTTTGGATTAAATTCTTTTATTGGTACAATGTAGGTATACAACACAATTACATTTCTCATTGGGAATTGTACCTTTACATAATGCATCTTGGTTCTTATTTTTTCCCCATTCCTAGCCCTCCCTTCACGCCCTTCAACCTTCCCTATTTACAAGGACTTTATTTCCATTTTTTCCATTTCTCATCATTTTTCCTTTCCCTTCTT